GGGAGGAAGCAGAGTATTGCATAAAATTTCTGCAGCTGAGCTATAGTTTGCACTCTAGTACCTGCATATTGAGTAGTTCCCAGGAAAGGATGATGCCTTGGACTGCAAATATGGGCCAGAGAATAGCCTAGTGGTCATATAGTAAAGTAACAAACAAACAGCAATAAAGATATTAGCAACCTCTGTTTGCTGTAGTCCAGAAAGTTCTGGAACTACTAGGGTGGCTGAGTAAAAATTACAGGTTTTTATGTTTAGCCTTCTGGGTTTTTTTGTGTATGTGTCTGTCTTTTTGAGACAGGGTTTCCTTATGCAGTTCAGGATGCCTTGAACTCACTTTGTAGCCCAGGCTGGCCTTGAGCTCTCAGGGACTCTCCTTCCTCAGCCTCCTCAGTGCTGAGATTACAGGCATGAACCACCACACCTGGCTAGGCTTCTGTTCTTAATTTTTTAAATACATAAACTTAATTTCTTTTAAAGCTTTCGGACTGTAACTTTCTGAGGACTTGACAAACTCTAGACTTCAATAAATGGGCAACACAGACAAGTAGCACAAAAGTTCAGAATTTCAGAGTCTACATAAAACTAAACCTTAACTATCTTCTACAACACAAGAAATGTAAATTCATCATTTCTCTGCTAAAATTACAGTTCTTAGCTGGATGTGGTGGCGCATGTCTGTAATCCCAGCACTCAGGAGGCTGAGGCAGGAGAATCACTGTTTGAGACAAGTTTGAGACAAGACTGGGCTACAAAATGAGCTCAAGGCAAGCCTGAACTGCACAGTGAGACTCTGTCTCAAAGACAAAAAATAAAATAACATAAAATAAAATTACAATTCTTTGATTTATTTATTTTTTGATAGGGTTTTACTATGCAGTTCAGGGCTGGCCTCAAACTGGCCTCATGACAATCTTCCTCCCTCAGCCTTTCGAGTGCTGGGAACTACAGGTATGTGCCACGATGCCCAGCTTAAAATTATAATTCTACAAAGTATATTTGCTCTGAGTTCATGTCAAATCCCTCCCCCCTATAATATAAAACTCTTTAATTTATTTCATTAATTATATATTGATTCCTTACATTCTTGGAATCATCTAAATCACTGTTTTTCTTTTATCTGGTTTTAAATTAAAACACAAGCATTTTTTATAAATAAGGCAGTGTACAGATGTAATTTCCTACCTCCTACCTTTTTAGGGCTGTTATGTTGTTCGATAACATTTGCTACACTTGTTCAGACCCATACAATTACACCGGGCATTTTATCCTTTTACAAAATTAGAGAAATGAAGTCATTATCATACACATTAATTTACAGTTTTCATTTTTCTCTTTCCATTTCTCCATTTCAATTTATACAGATCTCTCAATAGCTGGATTATTTCCTAGTACGAAGATACTAGAATTTGTCAATTATTGCTTGGATGTTATTTCCATATTTTTTTTTTACCATTACAAATAAAGTGCTTTTATTCGTGTAGGATAGATTCCAAGAATTAACTGGTTAAAAGTATATTTTTAACAGTACTTCCAGAGTCCTTCCAACAGCTCTGTAGTGAATTATTAACTAGAGATTTAGAAAAAGGCCCATTCCTTTCTGTTCCCTGCCAAAATGTGTGGAAGTCTCGCGATTTGAACAAATACCCCAAAATTCAGTTAAAGGACATTGTGGGGGACTTGGTGGAGGAGTGAATGGTTAAACTGCAGGGCAAAAGCATGTAGGCTCTGTCAAGAGTGAATGGTTAATCAAGAAGTTAATCTGGGTATGATGGCACACACTTGTAATCCTAGGACTTGGGAGGCTGAGGCAGGAGGATTCCTGGAAGTTTGAGGCCAGCCTAGGCTACATAATGAGTTCAAGGCCAGCCTGGACTATATATTGAGACCTTGTCTCAAAAAAAAAAAAAAATAAAATAAAAAATAAATTTAGTACTGAAGCACATTGTGTCTGGCCATTGTTCTTCCCCTTCCCCCAATAAACTGCCTAGCCTTGAGACAGTTCTTTGTCCAAACTGCTTTTCTTCTGGTTTTTTTTGTTTGTTTGTTTTTCTTTTACATTGATATTCTAAATAAAAGCCAGAGACTTCTCAGCTTCAGGGCTGCTTCAGAGTCTTCCTTAATGCTAGGTACTCTGGGATGGGACAGCCCCTCTGGGCCTCTGGGTGTTCAGGTCGTCTTGTCTCTGAGGAATTTCTTCATCCTCTGCACCACCAGGGTCACACATTGCAACAGGACGTAGTATACATTGTACTCAGAAATAACGGAATTGCAATCTATCTAGTTTTGACGCAGGACAAAGTAATTATGCCAGGTGTGGTAGTACATGCCTGTAATCCCTGCTACACAGAAAAATGAAGCAGGAGGATCACAAGTTCAAGGGTAAAATTCAAAGCCCCATCTCAAAAACAAACAAAAAACCCTCAAAAAACAAAAGAGAAAAAATAAGTAATTAAGAGAATGTTCTAAGTCAAGGTCTTTCCATCTCAGCACTATTGATATTGAGACTGGATAATTCTTTGTTCTGGGAGCTTCGAAGGCAGATCTGTGCTCTGTAGAGTACTTAGCAGCATCCTAGGCCTGTTCCCATTAGATGACAAAAGTACCTCTCCCACTCTGTCCAAGTTGTGTGATGAAATATATCTCCAGACATTGCCAAATGTCCTTTGAAAAGCAAAATATCCTCAGCTGAGAAACTCTGTAGATAATGACCTTTAAATGTACAGTAAAAAAAGCACTATGTCTAAAACTAGACTTATGAATCACTATGCATAAATATGTATTTTAGCCAAGTGTGGTTGCACATACTTCTAATTCCAGCTACTTGGGAGGCTGAAGCAGGACTGTCCTACATTCCAAAGCAGCCTGGGGAACTTTGCAAGACCCTAGCACTTTAACCCTGACAATTCTGACCACACAAAACCTCTTTTATATCAAATTAGTAAACACAGATCTCATGGTAACAAGTGGTGCTTAATGGCCATTAACCAATACTGAACACTTGGGTTACAGAAAGACTGAATTGAGACACGCATATGCTCAGTTTCACACTGAATCTTAGATTAAGTATGAAGAAAATACATTCTTTGCAAAGATCTAATTGGCTTTTTCAAGTGACTTATGTATCAAGCAGTCCCTACAGAAGATTTTTAAAGGCAGTAATATTTTAAGATTGTATGACATGTTAAAATATCTTGGATATCCTATCATATTACTAAAATTAAATTCACCTATTTCTTTTTACTTCTTAAAATATGGCTACTATATAATTATACATGTGTCTCCCCTCTGTACCTGGTATAGTATTTCCACTAGGCAGTGCTAATCTATCTATAGTATATATCACTCTTATAGTGGTACAACTTCTGAGAATCTCTGTACACCTGTTCAAAAGGCTTATCAATCTTGTTGAGAGGTGAATTACCATCCCTGCCCATTCAGATAAGACTTCCAATGTGTCTGTTCAAGATATGAGATACTTAAAGGCAATCCAACTATGGCAAGATTATTAGAAGACATTCACAGCCAAGAGACTGTTAAAAGCTTAACAAGGAAAATGGCTATCATTTTTTTCCCCCAGTGTTGGAGACTGAACCCAGGCCTGATGCATGGCAGGCTCCAAATTTTTTTTTTTTTTTTTTTGTACCGGGAATCAAACTCATGACCTCAGGCTTGCCAGGCAAGCGCTTATGCCGCTGAGCTATATCCCCAGCCCTTTTTTTTTTTTCTTAAAGACAGGGTCTTGCTATGTAGCCGAGGCTGGCCTTGAACTCACAGTGATCCTCTTGCCTCAGCCACCTGAGTGCTGGGATTACAGTCATGGTCCACCATGCCCGGCTCAGCTACAGATTTTTTAAAGAAATTCACATTTCCTCTTACATCAGTACATCCTTTTTGGAATAATGATCTTTCCAAGTTACTGTCAAATAACATGTCCTTGGATTTCGTAGCATTTTCGGCTCTTTGTTTTTTTTGGTACTGGGAATCGAACTCAGGACTTTGCACTTGCCAAGCAGGCGCTTGTGCCGCAGAGCTATATCCTTGGCCCAGCATTTTCAATTTGAAAACATTAAATGCATTTGTCTAAGTATTATTGTTTTTCATAAAAGCCTCAAGTGATAGGTACAATTATTATTTACATTGTCAAAATACACCGAGGGTTGTGTTCCAGGAAAAAGACCTATAAACTGCAACTCATCAGTATTTAAACTCCTCTTCCAAATTTTTTCCAAACTTCCGAGTATACCGTCTTAATTAGAAAAAGATATACACACATTAAGACATTTAGAAAAAAAAAAAACACTAAAACCCTTAGGTTAAACGTCTTTCAACTCTGACAGTACCACGCGCCTTTGTTACTCATTCTTAGTCATAAGTACTCCCCACGGAACCCAGAAAACTAGGAATCTGGGTTAGTTTGTTCACGTGCAGGTGGGCAGAGACCAGCCCTGCGTAACGTAGCACTTTATCTCGATGTTCGCCCAAATGAATCTCTTCAAACGGCTCTAGATCTTAGAAGTGCTGTTCTCCGAAATGCACTCCGTATTCCTCCATGGGCAAACTTACCTCTCCAAGAGCTGAATGCCTCGGAGAAATCTCCAAACCACACAGAGGAACCACCTCTCCTTTCGCTCATCACTCTACCTAGCGCTTGGCTTTCAAAAAGACTTACAGCAAATAACTGCTCTCCGCTAACCCAGGGCAGCGCCCCTCACGGCAGAGGTGCAGGCTGCCTCTTCCTTTTTCCTGGGAGCTCTAGGACGCTCGCTCGTCGAAGGATGGAATTCTGTCTCCACGAAGGGTAACCACACTTACGTGCATGTAGATGAGAGAATCTACGCACGTGACCGGGCACCTGAGAGGCGCTCCCTGAAAGCAGCGATTATTACTAAGGTGCACGTACAGAGCGCTCGAGCAGACCCCGACCAGAGAGACATCTGGGTCGGCGCGCGATCCATACACGGAACTTTCTTTCCCTTCATTAGAGGCTTCGGCTTCAATACCTTTTCCCAAACTCTATCAAAACCCGGAGCTTTGGTCATGAGCTTCACCGCTTCCCGCAGATTCCGTGACATGTTGCTCCCTTGTGAACCGACTGTCAGCTTGAAAGAAGGAAGGACAACGACCAGACACCTGAGTTCTGTCGCCCTTTCTGCCCCGCAGCGCGCTCAGGGTCAGGCGTCGAGCGCGCCCGCTACCAGCGTCCCCAGCGGCTGGTGCACTAACGTTCCGTTCCCTCTTGTGACCGAGTGCGCACGCGCGTTGCGCCCCATGAGCCCCAGCCCCACGGCCCGCCGCGCAGCCGCGCGGTTCGAACTGGCTGAGCAAGGTGCGTTTCCGCGCCGGGTGGTAGATGCGGGTGCACCAGGGCGCCAGGCGCCTGCGCAGAACTGGGCAGCGGCTGCGCCTTTAAAGTGGGCGTTGTAAACACGGCGAGGTGATGGAGCTCGGGAGCAGTGAGGAGGAGGCGCGGGACGAGAGCCAGCCCGAGGCGAAGAGGCGGCGGTTGCTGTGCGTGCAGTTCTCCTCGGTGGCGAGCTGCGACGCCGCGGTGGCGCAGGGGTACCTGGCCGAGAACAACTGGGAGATGGAAGTATGCGCTCGGCTGCTCGCGCCCTCGCCCGGGTCGGAGGGTGGCGGCCGCGCGCCCAGCCTTGTGCCTTTGCTTTTCAGAGAGCGCTGAACTCCTACTTCGAGCCCGCCGCGGAGGGCAGTGCGGTGGGAAGCCGGGCCGGGCTGCCAGCGGAGCCCGGGCGTTGGTGAGCGCGGGGCCCCGGGCCGGGCGGGGCTGGTGCGGGCGGGCGCCCGGGGTGCGGGGCGCGCTGCAGCGGGACCAGAGCGTCTCCCCGGGCATGCGTTTGGAACGGGAGTTGGAGTGCGGGAGGGAGATGCGCCCTGTATTTATTCCAGTCGTGTATGTTTGTAATACACGATCATCACATCTGTCTCGGGGAATTGGTAATTACACGTCATCATTTTTACTTTCCAAACCCTACCCTCTTGCCCCTCCGCACTCCTCTCACCCGTTCCCTACATCCCTCTCCCATCTCCAGTCTTTTTCCTGGAATTACGGGGATATATAAGCTAGAGTTTTGAAACAAATGAATGAGACAGAAATGGTCCGTTGAAGAATGTTAACTTGGAAATCTTGCCTCCTGTTTTATTTGCTTTCCTCCGGCCACGCAGAACAAGTTTTTTGGTTTTGCTTTTAAAATCCAGGGCTGATAGTGTCATTTCAGTGCCCTGCTATGCTGTTCTTAAAATCTACATGCCTACGAGACCCTCAACTGCCTATCTGACCAGGGTCGTCTCCTGCCATTCTCCCTTTACTTCCCCATGAAAAGTTGCAGATATGTCCGACTTCCTCTTCGTGAGCCATTTTTGCTTGCCATTTTCACCTATGCTTGGAACCGTTTCTTTCTCCTTGCTTGCTAATATTTTTCTGAAAGGCCCCAGCTTAGACATGCAATCTCCAAGAAGTTTTCCCTGATGTCCAGAGTCTAGGTAAAAGTTCCACTTTTAGGTATTTGTATAGCATCTTGCATGATCCTTGTTACAGTAATATAGTCCTTCCTCTGCTTTTCACTCGGCATTTTATATCTTCTGTTAGACTACACTTCTGTAAAGATAGAACTTGTTTTGTATATTGATTTCTGGAAGTCTCACAATGTTTGGCACTTACAAGCTCTCACTAAGTATTTGCTGAATGTATAAAAGTTCTCCTGGCTGTGTGAGCTATACAGTTGACTGTTCAGGGTCAAGACTGTTCCTTTGATCTTTTCACAGGCTTTTGGATGCGATGAGATCATTTTTCAATCGGTTCCTTTTTTACTTAGCTTTTTCTTGGCTCCCTGGATTGTAACAGTCAAAAGCAATTGGACAAGGAAGTGTTTACCCAGCCCAAACTAGCCAGTCAAATCCTCTCTCCTAGGATTTCAGAGTCAAGTGTGAGTCTTCTTGTGGAGCTAGAATTGCGACACATTAACTTAGCACAAGTCCTGATCCATATCCATCCTTTTCTTGTGCGTGGGGAAGCTGAGAACAGTGACACAAAGTTACAGCTGACTGAATTGTAACGATAGATTAGAACAAAGAGAATGGATTCCCTGAGGTAGGTCTTTAGAAAAAAGATACTGAACTGAGTGGTGGTGACATAAGGGACAATCAGGAATCCCCGACTCCAGGATTGGTAAATTGGCAAAAACAAATGAGGTGGTTGTTAGACTATGGTCTTTTGTCTCTCTCTCTCTCTCTTTTTCTTTCTTTTGGTTTTTTTGAGACAGGGTCCCCTGTGCAGTTCAGCCTGGACTTGAGCTCTCAACAGTCCTCCTGCCTCAGCCTCCCTCCTGCCTTAGCCTCCCCAGTTCTGGTATTACAGGCATGCGCCACCACGCCTGGCTTCTTTTGTCTCTTAGAACTCAGATCACGAGCCACTGGGTGTTGTGGCACAGGCCTGTAATCTAATTCCAGCTCAAGGTTGAGGTAGGAGGATAGAAAGTTCAAGGCCAGCGTGGGTAATTTAGTAAGACCCTGTCTCAGAATAAAAATGAGAAAAAGGAGTGGGCATGTGGCCCTGGGTTCAATCCTCTGTACTGGGGGGAAAAAAAGGAGAATGATAAAATTTACTTCATTAAGGAGAGAAAAAAGCTTCCTGGTGTTTCTAAGGCCTTCAGATCCATGGAACATGAATAAAAAGGGCTAAGATGTAGCTCACCTGTTTAGATTTTTTGATGTTGCCTTTAACAAAAATGGAAGTAAGGGGAAAAAGGAAACTGATAGGATGATTTTATGACTAGAAAAATTGAAGCCTGATGAGTAGGGGCTTTGACAGCCTGAGTAGGGGCGGAAACCTCGGTTCTTCAGTAAATTCCTAGTACATTATCAGAAAATTAAAATGGTTTAGCCATCTGCATTGGAATCTCTGTTTAGTGTCTCTCAGGAGACAAAGGAACTCGCCTTAAAGCAGTTAGCCAGGTGTGGTGGAGCACGCCGTAATCCCAGCACTCGGGAGGCTGAGGCAGGAGGATCCTTGTGAGTTCAAGACCAGCCTGAACTGTATAGCCAGACCCTGTCTCAAAAAGACCAAAAAAAAAAAAAAAAAAAAACCAGTTACTGAATCCTGGGTATAAGGATCTGCAAAAGGAGGAATATAGATATAAAATAATTCGTGAGCAGTTTGTATTACTTGTGAAGTTGTGTTTTATTCTGCTCTTACCAGTGTTGACCTAACCAATGAAGAAACAACTGATTCCACTAGTTCTAAAGTCTGCTCATCTGAAAACATTCAGCAAGAAGATGGCAGTATGTTCTCTTTCATCACGTGGAACATTGATGGATTGGATCTAAACAGTCTCCAAGAGAGGGCTCGAGGGGTGTGTTCCTATTTAGCTCTGTAAGTGGTGTCACTTCTGTTTAATAGTTTATTGTGATACTATGTCTTATGTATCTGCAAAGTAACCATATAAAGTTGTGGACTTCATAATTAATTAAGTGCAGCACTGAGGAGAAATATCTGTAGTTACTGAGGTAATTGCCTCTGAGAGTTGGCATGAAGAAAGAAGATCAGTATTTGTTAGAAGCATCATAGGATAATAGTAAACTTTGTGTGTAATTAATGCCATGAAATGACCAAAAAGATGTTTCTGCCCCATTCTAGCTCTGTGACCTTGGGCAAAGTACTTTAATTCTCTGAAGCTGTTCTCTTTACTGTGGATAATAAGTTTTAAGATGATCAAATGGAACAGTATTGAAAGCATCTAGGTGTTGTTGAAAGCATCTATTTAGGTGTAGTCTGAGAAGAGTGATTTCTTTTCTCATTCTTTACAGTGTTTTGTTTCTATGGTGCTAGGGATCAAATCCAAGGCTTCAAACATGCTAGGCAAATGCCCTATCACTGAGCTACACCTCAGCCCTGCATTTCTTTTTGATTTGATCATTATAATACTTTGTGTTAAATGGCACAGATCTTTCTTACTTTATTGTCACTAAAACTCAGTATAAATATTAGGTACCCTAGAGGTTGATAGTTCTCTTTTATGTTATGGAATTTCTTTTATATTGTGTGTCTCTTTTATGTTGTAGAATTTCTTTCACCATGGTAGCTGAAAACGAAATAGTATTCTTTGTGTTTATATTAAATTAATGTTTCTAGGTACAACCCGGATGTCGTATTTCTACAGGAAGTTATTCCACCCTATTTTAGCTATCTGAAGAAGAGAGCAAGTAGTTATGAGATTATTACAGGTAATACTTTCCTGCTGTTTAACTTGTGTTTTTAAAAAGGCAAACCAGTAAAAGATAATTTAAGAGCTAGCCTGTTAAAGCATATAGAAAAGAAAAAGTATAACTAAGTAGGTTTGAGAGAAGTAAGCAAAGCATGGGTTGGTGAAAGAATTATAGGAGAAGCTGTGCGTGGTGGAGCACACCTGTCATCCTGGCACTCTGGGAGCTGAGGCAAGGAAAATCTCAAGTTCAAGCCCAGCCTTGGCAAGGTGGTGACTTAGTGAATCCTTGTCTTAAAAAATAAAAAGGGCTGAGGTGTGGCTCACTGTGAAGACCCTGGATTCAATACCTAATAATTAGGCAAATATTACAAAATTAGACATTGACTAGCTCTTTGGTGAAATTCCATTGTTAATTTTTTTTTCTTGTGCTAAGGATGCAGCCTGGAGCTTTATGTGGGTCAGCCTGTGCTGTGCTACTGAGCTCCACCTCTAGCTCATTTGTTAGAAATTTTAAGGGTGATAATCAAATCCTGGTTGTGCTTTTTCAAAAGGTCTTTATCCATCCCTTTTAATTCATTTTGTTTTTCTTTTTCTCCTTTTTGCCCTGAATAATACTTAAATTTTCCATTTGTTTTTCCTAAGTACATTTAAAGTAGCATTTTGGTTAGATTATTTTCATATATATTGTTTCCCTTGACTTACTGTTGCACAGTTTGTGGCTTTTAATTTTGGTTCACTCTGGAAGCTCTGGTTTCTAACAAGAGGGCTCTTTCTGAATTTCTGTCCCTCTCTTTTTGTGGCACTTTCCTGCATGCTTTTGGGGATCCCTTTTGCCTCTTACTTTAGATTGGTTTTCAGAGTCCCATGCTTCTCCTTGGCTTACTTTCTCATTTTATCGGAGTCTGTTTCCTAGTTACTTCATAAGAAGTATTAGACAGGTAATGAAGTTTTTAATCTTGGCATATTTGAAAAGTGCCTATGCTTTAGCCTCACAGTTTGCAGATAGTTTGAAGGGACCTAGACTTCTAGGTAGTCACTCCCCTTCCCCTTTTATAGAATCCCTCTCTGAAACAGAGAGCCTCCTGCATTAGTACTTTAAGTTGCGTATCTTCCTCCTCTTTTTGTTATCTGTCATGGTGGTGTCTGTCACATCACCTTGGCCATACTCCCAAGATGTGTAGCGATCTTTGGTTCTGACTTCACATTTCAGCATCTGGTAGTAAAACACCGTAAACAGCTCAGGATTCCTGAGCAAGTTTAGGTAGTGTACCTTACTGGAAGTAAATGAAGGATCGATTATGGAGCCACTGTCTTATTTAATAGGGAAAGGGGGTTGTCAGTATACAGAAGCCTTTAATGCCAGTTTTCTAAGAAAATCCTTAAGTCAGGCCTGGGGGAGCCCATGCCTCTAGGCCTAGATATGCTGTATTCTGGAGTGAGGAGATTGCTTAAGCCCATGAGTTTGAGGTAAGCCTGGGCAACATAGCAAGACCCCAGCTCAAAAAACAAAATACTATTTTTAAAAAATGATGTAGCTCTCTGTCTGGTGAGTGCTGGTGGTGTCCCTGTGCTACCTGCCTGTTGGAAGCAGGTCAGAAGGAAGCAGCTGATGCTCCAGCCTGAGTAGACACATACAGCTTAACCCTGTCTCCAGTCCTAACCCCAGTCCGTTCTCCCTGCCCCTGTCTCTTAACACACAGCCCTCCTGGCAGCTAGGGACTCTGTCTGCATCCTCTATAACTTCACTTTTTGGTGGGCCTCGAGGGTCCTGTTTATAAAATGCTCACTTGGCTGTGAGGAGCTGGGGAAGACACCTGGGGCATGTTTCGCCTCTGCTCAGATTTTCAGTTCAGCACCTTACTTTTTTTCCTTTGTGTTCCAGTACTGTTTCCAGATGTGAAGGGGAGAAAGTCTGCCTGCTTCCTATCCGATTTCCCTCCATTCTGGTAAACCGCTACTACCTATCCACCAGCTTTCTATTTCCTGAGAGACTGTTGAAAGCTTTCATTCACTGTCCCTCTATTCTTACCATCTTTTTCTTCTTGCAGGTTTACATCTTTCTACTATTTTTTATACTTAAGATTTTTCTTCTGGCATGAGAAATAAGTGCCTGTCAGTTTGCTTCAGTTAATTCTTTACTCTGTGTCTCACAAATTTCTCAAATCTTATTTGATATTGGTAGCGGATTTATTATACTTGCCACTGTTTGCCTACTGGCCCCCACCTTGGCCCTTTTTTCTTTCTTTGTAGTGCTGGGGTTTGAATCCAGAGCCTCACATGCTAAACAAATACTATTACTAAGATACATCTTCCAGCCTCATTTTTATATTTCTTTTTTATTCCTGCTTAAACTTGGGAAGGGTGCAGGTAAGCACATAGCCTTGAATGACCATCTTGAGCTATTGTGGAATAATAGTTTTAGGATTTATATCTATTTAAATATCTGTAGCATTAAGAGAGACCTAAGATAGGTATTGATTTTGCCCTAGGACTGGAAAACTTGGGACTGTGAGGGTGAGGCTGGAGGCAAAAGTCTGGCTGGAAAGAGTTACAGTGTGGTAAAGTGGGAGCTTAAGCCCCACCCATGTTGAGGATGGCCAGGGTAGCCTGGGTGGACAGAAGAGCGTCCCCTGGCTGGGCTTCAGGTGTGCAGGGAGAAAGGGAAGGATGAGGATGAGGATGAGGATGAGGGAGGGTAGGATGTTTCCATCCTGGCCACTTACTTTTCTGTTTGGTTGTGTACATGGGCCTCACACCAAAGGGAAATATTTTTCATTAAAGTCCATATTTCTTCTAAAAAAGAAAAAAACTATCTGTTGCCTGTTTGTTGTAACATCTTTAGTAGGGGAGCTTGTGGAAAACTGACAGTACCTTTGACCTTCAGCCTGAATGCTTTTCCCCAAACGTTTGAAGGTCACGAAGAAGGCTATTTCACAGCTATAATGTTGAAGAAGTCGAGAGTGAAATTAAAAAGCCAAGAGATCATTCCTTTTCCAAGTACCAAGATGATGAGGAACCTTTTGTGTGTGCATGTGAGTAATTTACATTTGAATTTTTAAAAAGCGGACTTTTTAAATAGGGAAAAATTTGCTCCTTACATGTATATTCTTTTAAATAACCTTAAAGAACTGTTGGATTTCTGTATAAATTTTGAATGTAGACAAACTTGTAAAAAAAAGAATTCCTAATGTATTAGATGTTTTCTTAAGAATATTTGAGTTTGCAGATATTCCACATTTGTTTCCTAAGTAACGTTTTTTACTCTCTCCTCTACATGGTACTGTGTTGTACTCCGTGAGGCAAATGAGACTGAATGAAAACACGTCCTGTTTTCATACAGTTTAGTAAGGGAGAGATTGTATACATGTAACTAAAATAAAGAAAAGGCCTAAGTGCCACTCAACAGGTATGAGTGATACTCTGGAAGTTTGCACAGAGATGTCTGCTAGAAGATTAGTTAGGATTTCTTGAAGGAAGTGGTATTTGCATTGAAATATGGGCATCTGAGAAATACATACGCTGTAGACATGAAGAAGAGTCAGGTAGAGAACCTATCGTTTGTTTTTGTTTTGTTTTGTTTTTCCGGTACCGGGTATTGAACTCATGACCTTGCGCTTGCCAGGCAGGCACTGTGCCGCTGAGCTAAATCCCCAGCCCCTAGAGAACCCATCGTGAACAGTGATCTGCACGGTACAAGCGCTGTGTACATATGGCCATGAGCAAGCCTTCTGTCGGTCAGTGTGGCGGATTTGAGGAAGGAGTGTGACAGGAGGTTGAGAAGTAGGCAGGAACCACATTACAAAAGTGCATGAATGCCCGGTGTGAAAGAGTTGGACTCTATTCTGCAGACAGTGTAAGGGTAGATCCTGTGTTGTTAGTATCATTACTGCAGATGGTAAACAATATTCCTGCAGTTAACTGACATTTTTTGAGTACCTATATGCCAGGCCCTTAATAAATGAACATGACCTGGGCTTGCAAATGACTTACAGCTTCATGTGAGGGAAATACCTGTGCTTATAATTCAGTCTGGGGCCTTAGCAGTAGTCTGTCTGGCAGGAGGAGCCTGGAGGAGTGAGCCATTGGTGGCCTCAGGGACACTGGGGAAGGTCGCAGTGGAGGTGACGACGTAGGGAGTGAGTCATGTTTGCTGAAAAATCTTTGCAGGCAGGGTTAGGGCCTTCATTTTTTTGTTTGTATGTTTGTTTTTTGACCTGAGGGATGGTGCTAAGAGTACGGTTTGAGAAATGTATCAGTTGATGCTTAAAAAGATTGCTGATTCTGTCGTCAGAGTTCACCATTAGTAGTCAGTGGTCAATTTAATTACTTAACCCTGTTGCAGGTGAGTTTGTCTGGAAATGAACTTTGCCTTATGACTTCCCATTTGGAGAGCACCAGAGGGCACGCCAGCGAACGAATGAATCAGTTAAAACTGGTGTTAAAGAAAATGCAAGAGGCTCCAGAGTCAGCTACAGTTATATTTGCAGGAGATACCAATTTAAGGGATCAAGAAGTGAGTATCACAGTCAGTTCCATGTGGGAAAATTATCACTATAGAGTTTAGTTTTGTGTGACCAAAGTTGTTAACACTGGGACTTTCAGTCACTCAGAATGTATAAGTGACCTTGAAAGTGCAAGTCATTTAGCCTTTGCTATTATTTCTAGGGGCAGGAGAGGCTCTCTCATTACTGGGAGAAAACAAATGAAATAGGCAACGTAAAATAATGTATCTGCTGGGTTAATAAGAGGCATACAGAGAAGCTAATGATTCGAAGAGTTTAGAAAAGATTGAGACTGAGCTTATGTGCAGAATCCCTAGTTGTGAAGCGAGGAGAACAGAGATATTAGTTGTCCCTAACACTCAGCCTTCTGTGATTCTTTTTTGGATTTTGTTAACTTTGCATGAGGGCAATGCTGGGTACACTCCTAGGGCCTTGTGCATGCTAGGCAAATGGTCTACCACTGAGCACTATCCTCCAGCCCTAACTTTAAAGCTTTATTTTGTGAATTTAAAAATTTGAGATTTTAATAACCACAAAAAATGCAGTCATACTAATGATTGACAGAATGTAGTGATATATTCTCTACACAGAAATCATGTTGATGAGTCATAATAATTCATCAATCATTTTACCCCCTTTTGCTGCTTCCACAATGGCCAGATCTGAAACAGTTTCTTTCCTCTTAGTATGAAGAGGAGGAGAAGGAAGTAATATTGTTAATACATTTAAAGTACAACTTACACAGGCGGTTAACATTATCGGAGCATGTAAACGCCACACTTCTAAATTGGTAGACTAGAGTAGTCTTTCCTCTTTCCACATGAGTTCAGTTTTTAAAAACATTTATTTAAAATTTTTTTTGAGACAGGGCTTCACTATGCAGTTCAGGCTGGCCTTGAACTCACTTTGTAGCCCAGGCTGGCCTGGAACTCACAGCAATCCTCTTGCCTCAGTGTCCCAAGTGCTGGCATTATGGGCATGCGCCACCAGGCCCGGCAATTTTTACAAATTTAAAGCATTAACTGAGGCTTTGAATATTCAGTCTTCTGAGTTTTATCTGACACTCCGAATTAGGTACCTATTCAATGCAGAACATTTGTACGTTAATTATTTTTGACTTTTTGGTTTAAAATGTTACAGTTATCTGTAGTATTAGCAAACACATTTTTAAATGAGAAGAAAATGACTATGTGGATCTTTTACCATATTTCTCTTTTCAGGTGACTAAATGTGGTGGTTTACCCAGCAACATTTTGGATGTCTGGGAGTTTTTGGGCAAACCTAAGCATTGCCAGTATACATGGGACACACAGATGAACTCTAATCTTGGAATACCTGCTACTTGTAAGCTTCGTTTTGATCGAATATTTTTCAGAGCAGCAGCAGAAGAGGGCCACATTATTCCTCGAAGTTTGGACCTGCTTGGGTTGGAGAAACTGGACTGTGGCAGATTTCCTAGTGATCACTGGGGTCTGCTGTGTAATTTAGATGTCATATTGTGAAATACTTTACAAATATGAGTCTTAAGTGTTTTATTTTGTGCTGGATTTTTGCAGATGTAATTTCTTCCTATCTGGAAAGGTCAATTTAATATGGAGAAATTAATACTGTAAAGTGGATCATTGCTACAGGAAAACACAGTTACAATTTTGAATTATGGATTATGTCCTCAGAATTAGAATCAGCCAGGTGTGGTGGTGCACACCTGTAATCTCAGCACCTGAGAGACTGAGTCAGGATTGTTGTGAGTTTGAGGCCAGCCTGGACTACATAGTAAGTTCAAGGCCAGCCTGAACTATGTGGCAAGACCCTCTCCACCCCCCACCCCCGCTGCCACAAAAAAAGAAAAAAAGAATCAGAATCAATGTTTTGGTTTTTTTTTTTTTTAATCTTTTTGAAACAGGATCTTACTAAATTATTAAATTGCCCAGCCTAGGCTTGAAGTTGCAATCCTGCTGCCTTAGCCTTGCAGAGTGCTGGTATCATAGGCATGTAGTACCAGGCGCAATGTGTATTTTAAACTCAAGCATACACATGTTCTGAATATGAAACCCTTTTGAGCCTAAGCTGCCAGCTGAATTTCAACTAGGGCCTACATGTCTGAGGACTAACATTTACGACATTTCTTTTTTCAGTCAGGCACCAAAATAGTTACTATTTTAAATGTCATCATTTACTGAGGTTAGTGAGTTCTTGGGACTCAGTCACAATTGTCTTTCAGAAATTCAGATAAATGAAAAACTCTTGACCACTTTCAGTTAAATAGATGACAACGATCCTACATCAAATTTAATTTTATCAGCCAGCAGTACATAATCAGGAAGCTACCAACTTACATTTAAAATTCCTTAACACTTTTCCGATTAACGTTGGTAGCCATGTCACCAAAGTTAGGCTTATCATGATTAAAATCAGTTTTATAGCAGGATAGGACTTTTTTTCTAAGAGGAAAAATAAATGTATAAGGATAAATACCTTTTAGTTTTGTTACTTGTCTCCCATCCAGGTCCTAACCAGGCTCGACCCTAGTTTTGCTGCTTGTAAAATGGAAATATTTTACAGGATGTGGATAAAGAGTCCTTTTCTAAAAATTTTTTTGTGGTTTTGGATATGGAAACCAGGGCTTCACTCCCACGGTCTCACATATACTAGGCAAGTGCTCTTCACTGAGCTATAACCCTACCTCTAGAGTACTTTTCAGTGTGCTTTAAATAAGAAAATTCCCCACAGAAGAAATGTACTGTGAATAAAGAATTTTATGTGTTTTATAGATTGGGTGTGTTTTTATGTCCATGATGGAATTAAAGTTTTTACCTATTTCTGGATCGACTGCTATTTCCTTGTGTGGAAGGAAACAACTTTCTGTGTTGCTTTTCATCCCACTAAGAATTACTAAGACTACCTTTAATATAAAGAAAAGGGAAATCCAGTTGGAAAAACTAAAACGAGAAGTGACAGAAACTTATTTTCATCAGTAGTGTCAAAATTAAATAACCTACAAAAGACAATTTGAATTTACACATAGTATCCTCCTTTTAGTGACTATGGGAGAGTTTTATATGTTATTCCTAACTTTAATCATTAAAAGTGAAAATTGATGGAAATATTTTAGCAGCATACAGTATGGAGGCAATAGTTCATTTCTGTAGAAAAAGAATCTGGGATAAATTTCTTACTCATTTCATAGAATTAAGTTAGAAGTACCCCACATTGTATTAACAAAAGTAGGTGAAGTTCTCAATATACAAAATATGGAGTGTAATGTGTTACAGGAGTATTGTTTTAAAACAGTGAAAGTATCATTTTCTTTATATAACTCGGCATCTATCTAAAATACCTTCTTGCTTACCGCTTATAATGACAGAATATAAGAAACAAGTTACAAGAATGAATAGGAACAGTCAAATCACTCTGCTCCTGTGGGCAGTAGTTTTCAAACAATTAAAGAATTAACCTAATTTGCACTACTTTTTAACTTGAATTTTAAGGTTTTCCATTCTAATAGCTTTGTTTACCTTACCATCCTTGGTGAAATCCAGCCCACAATCTTAACAGTGTGATAACACTTTTATTACTCTAAACATTTATCTTTTATTGTGCAAATGTCCCAGCCAGCAAGAGCCCACAAAGCCAGGAAATCTGTACTGAAGAAGCATCATATTATCCCTAGCATCCATCAGCATGATTCAGGCAGTGAGAGCCTGCTGACTGCCGAGGAGACAGGATGGTGCCCTCACATCTGGGTGGAAGGAATAGGCTAACATTTGAGTACAATGTCTCCCTGTTCACTAAATATACATTCATCCTCTATGAATGAAAATAGATGTCCATCATGGTGGCTCTGAGTTTTAAAATGTTCCAGTTTAACCTGATCCATGTTTGCTAATCAGCTAAGCCCTGCCAGGGACCCTAACTGACCTGCTTACTGACTTGGTGGTACTGTGGCGTGCCGTATGGGAAGAGGAGGAAATGCGCTCAGGAAGCCTTGGCTCCTGTGGAAGGATCTGAAAAGTGCTTTGGAATCTAGGATGGGCTCCAGTTACCTTGCTTTTCAGAGGCCTGTTGGGAGAAGTGGAGGGAGCTTAGCAATTGGGCATCAGCAGTTACTGATGAGAATGGCAAAGCCTGGGGCCCTTTGGGGAAGGAAGCCGTATAAATTCAAGAGGGAGTTAGACGTCCAGGCTGGTCTCAAACTCACCATCCTCCTGCCTCGGGTTCCGGAGCGGCAGGCTGATTTTCACTTTTTCCACCTTGGTCAGGTTTTTAATGTTTCCAGTGTGCATTATCTCATTTAATTCCCCCAATCCTCGTCTATGGATGCTGTTATCATCTCCGTTTTATACCCCAAGGAACCAGGGTTGGCAGGGTTGCATAACCTGTCCGTGGCTCCTCCATGGCTAACGCATATAGCCTGGTGGATGCTTGCTGGTTCAGCAGGGTGTGTGGCTCGGCCCTAGGGACTGCGCTGCAGCCGTCAGTGACAGGTTGGACAGGCAGTGCTCAAGGAATGCCAGGCTTCCCCAGATGCTTAAATACGAAGAGGAACCTTCCAGCTTTTCTGGGGTTGGGATTCTCACTTCCCCAAGTCGCACAGGCGGTCAGAGTGCCCTGGCACAGTGTAACTTGTGGCGCTGAGAGTTGGTTTGGACCCCTCCCAGCCCAGGTTGCCAGATGGTTAACCACCGGAACCCAAAAAGCCTCCACGGAAACAGTAGGACTTGTGTAGCAGGGATGACTCCTTCGAGGGACGCATTCGCGAAGGGTCTTTGACTCAGTGTGCCCACAGTTCCCGTAAGCCACTCTGGCCCGAGCATTTATTTAGAAGGAGCATTCATCCCCCAGGCCCTTTAACACCTGGTGGCAGGGAAGACGCAGGTAGAGCAGAGGAGGTGGGGAGTGCTGGCCGCTCTGCCTCCCCGAGTCCGGTTTCCCGGGCGGTAGGAACAGGTCCCCTGGGCGCCGGCGGTGAGTCGCATCCCCGGAGCCGACCTGCGCGCTACGGCTGCCCGCCCACCCTTCCCCGGCGCGTTGCGCGTGCGTGCGCGTCGCCGTGGTAACCGCGCAGCGGAAAGGCGCTGAATCACTGCGCGCGCTGCCCCGACGCCCGCCGAGCAGAGCTGGGGGCTGGCGGGTGTCCCGGGTGCAGCCTGGCTGGAGCGGTGCCGCCCCCAGCAGGTAGAGCGGGGCACGGGAGCCGGGGCCGCGGTCGCCGTCCCTGCTGGAGGTAAGAGCGCAGCAGCCACCTCTGCACGTCTGGCGTTTGGTTCAGAGTCGCTGCCCCTGGGGCTGTGTGCGGGGAAGGGACAGCTAGGGGGTTGCTCTGAGGGGCGGCACCCCTGACAGCGGATGCGCGCGCCAGGGTGTGAGTGCGAGTGCGCGTGTCAGGGCGGGCGGGGATGGCGGGCAGGAGCAGGTAGGACGGCGGGGCGAAGCTCCGGACAGCGGCGCCGAGCCTCCCTGGCCCAGGTGCAGCATCCTGCTTCCCAGCCCCGCTGGCCAGGTGGTTGAAAGGAAGGGCAGCAGACAGAGAAGGGTTAGGCCAGAGTGAAATAGAAGCCAGATGCCCAGAGTTCAGGAGGTCTTCTCGGGGTTCCTCTGGGTATCTAGGAAAAGGCATTTGCTGGACGGCTGCGTTGAATGATTGCTTCCGAGTCGGGTGGAGTTGGGAAATTTGGTGTCTTTCCCCAGCCTCATGGATTGCATTTCTTAGACCTCAAGAGTCGTTTTCTTTAAACTTCATTTAGTGTTCTTTATTTGATCGTTGTTCCCATTTGCTAAAGACATCTCACCTCTCTCTGTTCCTTACAAGAGTCTGAGGCTTAAAACCTTCGAAAGGCTTTCTTGCCTACCCTTTGAATTCCCTCCAAGAAATGTCACAAATTAATCAGGAGCATAAACCTGAAATTATGAAAATCATCACCCTTAAGATCACTTGTTCTCTTAATTCCATGGAGAGAGGAAAGAATATAATCATATCTGTGTACATTTTAATTGCAGGTTTGTCTAAACATTTTCATTTCTGGGTTAATTTTTGTATTTTTCCAGTGCTTGAAGAGAAGGATTGATGTTTTTGAGAATAATAAAAAAGAAATCGTAGACTCCCCCAACACCAAAATTTTTAATATTAGTGCTTATTTCTTTATTCCTGAAATGCATGCTCACTGTCCAAATGCTTCAGTTTGTTAATTACTAGATGCACACAGTCCTGGAGACTTAAAATTATGCCACATGTAAAATTTTATCTTGTGCTTGTGCTTTTTACCTTGTTTTTAACACAAATGAAAAGTGGAGATAACAAGCCAGTTGTAGACTTAATCACAGAGAAAGCTAACTTACTCTGTAACCTGGAAAACAGAAATATAAATATATCTCAACATTTTTTAGAACCACAGATGATAGACTGATCATATCTTTGCCATGTAAAATACCAAGGCAGAGACTTAGTTTCTTTTCAGAATATTGAAAATAATTCAGCTAATGTTTTTATTAAAAACAGTCAAAAGAGAGCTTTGGTAGGTTATTAACATAAGAGAATAAGGTTTGCTGTTAAATTTTTCTCTTGACTTAATTTTTCCCTCCAGCCACACAGGGAATCACTGTGTAAATACATGTGTAGAACCGGGTGTGCTGTTTATGGGTGGGGTGATGCAGATCGGCAGTGAGGGAAGGGGGAGTGCTTGTGATTCTTCATCGTATGTGGGAAATTCCCCAACCTCTCTAAGCCTCAGTTTCCTCATTTGTAAAATACAGAAAATA